TTTGCATTGCCGGCAATGCAAACCAGGCTCCTGCTCCGCTTGTACAGAGAACAGATGGCCCCTATTAAAGGGCCCCTGACTCCATACTCCTGGAGCACCCCCCACAGGGCAGCACGAGGGACACGGTCGAATGCCTTCTCCAAGTCCACAAAACACATGTGGACTGGTTTGGCAAACTCCCATGAACCCTTAAGCACCCTGCACTTAAAAATATGAGAATAAAGTCCTAAAATAAAGAGGATGAATTTGTAAAATTATGAGAAAGTAAAATTATGAGAATAAAGTTGTAAAGTTATGAGGATAAAGATGTAAAATTACGAGAATGAAGTTGTAAACTTACGAGAATAAAGTCGTAAAATTTTGAGAAAGTAAAATTATGAGAATAAAGTTGTAAAATTATGAGAATAAAGTAAAATTATGAGTAAGTAAAATTTTGAGAATAAGGTTCTAAAATTATGAGAACAAAGTAAAATTAGGAGAAAAAAGTCGTAAAATTACAAGAATAAAGTTTTAAAATTATGAGAATAAAGTAAAATTATGAGAAAGTAAAATTTTTAGAATAAGGGTATAAAATTATGAGAATAAAGTCGTAAGATTACGAGAATAAAGTTGTAAATTTATGAGAATAAAGTAAAATTATAAGAAAGTAAAATTTTGAGAATAAAGTTGTAAAATTACGAGAATGAAGTTGTAAAATTACGAGAATAAAGTCATAAAATTTTGAGAAAGTAAAGTTATGAGAATAAAGTTGTAAAATTATGAGAATAAAGTAAAATTATGAGAAGGTAAAATTTTGAGAATAAGGTTCTAAAATTATGAGAACAAAGTAAAATTATGAGAAAATAAAATTTTAAGAATAAAGTTGTAAAATTACGAGAATAAAATTGCTAAATTATGAGAATAAAGTAAAATTATGAGAGTTAAATATTGAGAATAAGGGTGTAAAATTATGAGAATAAAGTCGTAAAATTACGAGAATAAAGTCATAAAATTTTGAAAAAGTAAAATCATGAGAATAAAGTAAAATTATGATAATAAAGTTGTAAAATTACGAGAATAAAGTCCTAAAATTACGAGAATAAAGTCCTAAAATTACGAGAATAAAGTCTTAAAATTACGAGAAACAAGTTGTATTTTATGACAACTACTACAAGAAGCACTTTCTTTCCTAAAATGAGGAATGTCGACCATTTATGTGAAGTTATACTATAGCTCTGGTTTGACAAATAACGAAATCTTTTAGCACCAGCATCAAATTGGGCAGCATGTCAAAGTGGACTCAAGTTGCTGATTGGAATTCAAAGCTTTCTTTCTGAAATGGGTTGCGGTATGACGACTTTATTCTCGTAATATTACAACTTTTTTCTCGTAATGCTACGAATTAAACCTCAAAATAAAAATAAAAAAATCTCTAACCTGGCCCGAATACTCCATCGTACATAATCCTCCTCTATTCAGATAAATTATTTTCCTACTTGTTAAATGACGGTAATAGTAAGAAATGTTGCAACATTCATCTAAAACAAACAAACAAAAAAAAACTTTTAAAAAAAAAGGTGTGTGTGTGTGGGGGGGGGTGACCTTCATTTGTAATATCTGAATTCTCCTCTTGGGGGTGCTGTTTCTCGACTTTGTGGCCGGGGTTCATGTGACTGAAGCACTGTTTATGGGCGGGGTTATAATGTAATGTTTCACGGGCTACTGTAGAGCACAGCCAATAAAGTGTCGGTGGTTAGTGAGTGCCTGAGCTAGCGGCAGTGTTCCCGTTTCACCCCGCTGTTGGATGGAAACAGACACCAGAAACTACCGACATCAAATGACATCTGTAACGGCGGCGCCGCCACGGAGCACCGGGCTGACTCTCTTCACATTCATATGCGGTACGTTAGCCTCTGCTTATTTAAAACCGAAAATAGTAAATCCGTAGTGGTAAGGTGCTCAAGCTATGTAAGCTGTGCAGCGGGATGCAACAGGGGTTATTGTGGCTGTGGGGGCTGCTGTCCTCCATAGTTTGTGGACCGAGGCGCTGGCCTGTTGCTAGGAGACCTTCTGACAGTTGGAAGCTTTTTGGGAAGTGACAGTTTGAAAGCACTAATGGTTCTTTAGAAACCCAGACATTCCTCCTCCTCCTCCTCCTTCCCAGTCCTGTTACCTGTTCATCTGTAAAGCCTTCTGTCCTCTGCTTGAAAATAACACTACAGCAGGATTGTCTATTTTTTTCTTCTTTTTCAGTCAGGAGATTAGAGCGCTTTACAGAAAC